TTTACATACATTTCAAAAAAAAATTAAAATACCGGTTGATCACCCTAACGCCCAAAACCAGAACCGGTCTAACTGCTCGATTAGTGGTTAGATCGGGTGATTTTGCGAACAATGGTAATGAGTAACACTTTGTTTGTCTAAGCTAAAAAATTGGAGCAACACAAACAAGATTTTGAACACGCTATTTTTGTTCATGACAAAAAAGAAAAAAAAAACAAATTATCAGCACCACAATTTATCAAATAGGGTTTCTAGTTTTCACAGCACCAATTTTCACCTTCATCTTAGAATTTAGGAAAGTTTGCCATGGAAGTTATCAACTGCTACCTAGATGACATGTGATACCAGACTTGCCTACCAAATTCATGATGTTGGAGGGTCGCAAAAATTTACTTCATCACTACTCATCATAAAGATGGATGATAAGTGGCTCTCAGAACCGATTGGTTAATTGAGATAACAAGATAACTTTTTTAGTTACCACGTTTTCCCTTATTTGGGAACAAGGAAGAGCGTGGAAACATAAAGTCCCGCATTTCTTCGCATTACTACGCTTCTTGACAATTTTGGGGAGAACTGCAGCGGCCATTTCTCAGGAGAAGGGGAGAAAGCAAGAGCACCCCCCACCTAAAATTATTATTATAACCTCACGTTCTCTTCCACTCTCACGTCCTCTTTCCCCAACCCCTTTCCTAAGACTTTTTTGGTTTTCACAATCAGATTATCAAAACAAAGGTTTTCAGCTTCCAAGCACAAGTTTTCTACTTCTATCTTTTTCTCATACTTCCAGTTTCTCATAATTGAGATAAAAAGGGATCCTTAATTCTATAGATGTTGTAAGTGACATTCTAACCTTTAAGGAGAGAGAGATGATCTTGAAAATTAAGTGGAGATAGATATTCAAACTTATTATAGAATAGAAAAAGATAGAGATTGCAATATCATGTATATTCAAACCTATCCTACTTGCCAAATTCATTTCTCTCTTTTTCTCTCTAAACTGCCAAGATTATCCTTTCCTATATTATTTTTTAAAATTATCAAACTTTTCCAAAAAGAAGAGGGAGGGTGTGAGAGAGGAGTAAGAGAGAGAGCAGTGAGGGCGAGAGAGAGAGAGGAGGGTAGAGAAAAAAGAGGAGACATGAGAGAGGGGACATAGAGGGAGAAAGAAAGGAGGTGGCGTTAGATAGGGGTAGAAGAGAGACAGGAGGTAGAGAGAGGGTGTGAGAGGAGAGAAGAGGAAAAGAGAGGGGGCGTGAGAGAGGAGGGAAAAGAGATTATAGGGGGAAGAGAGAGAGGGTCTGGAGATATAGAAATTGATTTGAGAAAAGAGAATTTTGTAGCTCTTCACAATCTCTTACACTGCTTTTGTTTTTTATATAATTAAATAATAATAATTTATAATTACTTTTTGGTTATTTAATAAAATATTATTTTTTAAATTTTATTTTATTAAATCAATTTTTTATTAAATTTTGCTGATGCATTATACCTATGCAGGTGTTTTTACTCTTATATAAAATCTGACAAATTTCAAATTCACTTTAAAAGGTTGCTTTGTAATTCTTGTGTTTGCTTTTTAATTATTTATCTTAGAAGTCCATATAAATCTAATTGTATCTCCTCTTAGTAGTAGTTTTTTTTTTTACCTTTGATTTAATTGATTTATTATAAAATAACAAATGTGAAGCATGACAAATTCATATTCACTTTGGCATGTTGCTTATAATTTTTTTATTTGCTATTTTTAAGCTCTTATATGAGAAGTTCACATAAATCTAATTGTTTTCCCTCTTAACATTATATTTCTTACTTTTGAAGTAAATGATTTGTAATGTTATAATCAACTTTATGTGATCCAATATATATTTGTCATTTCTTTCTTTTTTTTTCAACAAAGTTCATGTATATTGTATGCTGATTTTTATCATTTTTATGTATTGTATTTGTATCATGTAGGTTGATTAGTTAAAGTAATTGAGGAGATATCCCGTTCTCTCCAAATCCAATATTTAAATAAGGTATGGTGTCCTTTTAATTTTATTATATTGATTTTATATTTTTATTTTCATATTATAAAACTAATTAAATATCTTTTGGATTTGTATTAAACTTTGTGGTGAAACATTTATGTATGTAAGCTAAACTATTTTTTCTTCTTTAGTCGATGATATTCAGTTTTTTTCTTGTCTAATATCATTAGAAATTTTATTTTATAAGGAAATTATTTAATTTCTTTTTCTTTTTACTTTCTTTGGCTTTTTCCTACATGTAAAAGGCATGCTTGGAAAGCTAAACATATTGGATTTTTTTTTGTAGATATGTGTCTGAATTTCATGATGAATATTTGTTGTTTTAAGTACATATTTGTAACTTTTTCCTTTTTTTAAGTCAAATATTAGCTTACCAATGACTGACTATTGTTAATGATAGTTTTACTTTCCATTCTATTTTTTGAAGTTTTTAATTTTAAATAATAAATAAAAATTACATATGATTTTTTAATATTTAAAATTCTTAAAATTCCTAAAATTAGTTATTATGTTTTAAATATTTTCATTATGAAAATTATAACAAATATTTGTTATATAATTATTGAATGAATTAGTTTTTGAGATTCTTTGTTTTGTGGACTATTTTTTCTTTTCGATATGCCAATAAAATTTGATGTCGTAACTTTTATATGATATTACGTAAATATCCATTATACTTTTTGTTATTACGAAAAATACCTGAAACTTTCTATTATAATCAGATGTCAGTTTTTTCAACTTCATAACACTTTTTTAAAAAATAAAAATAAAAATGAAACTGCCAATTTTCGGTTTTTGAAAAACCAAATTTATTTAATTTTTGGTTTTTCAAAAACAAAAAAATAGGTAGTTTCATCTTTTTTTTTAAAAAAAAAGTGTTATGAAGTTGAAAAAATGGACATAAAATAACGGGAAATATAACTTATATTTACGTAATTTTCCCATGTTTTTTTTATGTGAACGTTGAGTGTTCCATGAAATAAAGAGTTTGACTCTCTTTTGGGCTACTTTAAGATCTAAGGATAGACATGCTTGTTATTTTCTATAAATTCTTTTACTCTAATTTTTATTTAATACTTCTAAATTTTTATTTTTATTTTTTAGATGAGTCTATAACTGCCAAAAAAAAATAATATCACTTTGAAACAATTCCATTATCTTAGTTTTATATTTTAATAGTTTATGTTTTTTTATCAATGATTTATAATTTTAAGTAAAAAATTTTATGCTTTACAAATAGTTTAACTAAATTTCAAACTAAATTATCAGTTTTCAAATATTTTAAATTATATCATTTTGTACTTTTCATTTTTTCGTTATTTCAACTTTTCAATGGTTTTTTAAATTGTATTATGATTGATTTAAGAGATTTTCAAGTGTTATGAATGCTTAGTATTGTATTTTACCCATGTATGCTTTATTTTGGTGGGTGTTTGCATTATCTATTTGATTTCGCTAAATTTCTATATGTGTCCTAAGTACAAAAAGCATATGAGGCAAGAGACGGGTCTTATTTATGTGATCATTTAATTTTTTTTTATGAAAAATATCTCCATAGACCATGTTTTTAAGTTTCATTTTTTCGTAAACCCAAGGTTTCAAAACCGATCTAGCTATATAAAGATTCTATTTATTATATCTTCAAACCCCCTAGATCAATTTTATTTTATTTTTTAACCCAAACAAATCTACAAAAATATCTTTTTAAACCCCTCTCTTCATGTTTTTCTCTTTCTCTCTCCAATCTCCCAAACGTCTCTCTCTATTTCTCAACTCCCTCTCCCTCCCTTGTGTCTGCTCCCTGTTCCTCAACTTTCTCTCCCCTCGTGAGAGAAGCACGTGAAGATAGAGAAAAAAAAGAAAAAACTAGTTTTTTAAGTGATATTTTTTTCAAATTTGTTTGAGTTGAGTAGACTTAGTTTAGAAAGTTCGAAAATATAAAAAATGAAATCTTTATGTTATAAGATAGGTTTGAAAAGTTTGAGTCTACAAATAAATAAAATTTAAAAATTGAGTCTACAAAAGTATTGTCGATTTTTTTTACATATAATGCACATAATACCACTAGTTTATAGAAAAACAGTTACCAAACAGGGCCTCCGAGTGCACCAAGTACCATCTCCCCTTCACCAAATGCACCAATTGGGATCACATTTTAGTTAGATGAGAGAGGAGATGTCTTCAATGCTGAAGCAAAAAGCTGACCCACACTTTCTACGGCGATACGATCGAGATTAAAAAACAATTCATTTTTGGGTAGAGAAAGACAAGGTGCTTCATGCTGTACTTTGAGCTCTAAAATGATATTTTGAAGTAAAAGAACAACAAAATTTGGAATTTTGAGTTTCTAAATTGTATTGTAACCATAAAAAAAATAGATTTCAAGTTTTTTTTTTTTTTTGGAGAAAAGTTTATTTAGAGCTTAGGTTCTAAACACTCAAATTAGAGCTTACCTAAAAAATTTCATTAAAAGAGGTTGTTTTGATGCCCATATATCCTGAAGTTGATCATGTCGATATCAAGATGCATGGACTTGAGAAAAAAAAAGATTTCAAGTTTTAGAAGTAGTGCATCTTTGAATCATCAATTTTTAAGTTATCTAAGTTTTTGTAGATAGCTTCAAATTTTATAATTAAAAATAAAAATATATTTTAAAGCTGGTTAAAAAATTTCAATATTGTAAGAACATTTCTCCGCACTATTTAGAAATGAGTTCTAATTTGATCGTTTAGAGCCTCCGCTCTTTACAAACTACACTCTTTTTCTTGTGGTTTATTTTTCTTAAAAAAGGGTCCCATTCCAGGATATAGGGCCTACGTAACAAAATTTGGTGGCCTAGGCTAGGGCAACACCTCGAGACGAGGTATTTTATGTGAGGGAGAGAACAGAGGAAATGATCCCGCGGGAGCACAGGATCACTCGACAAAAGGATCCAAAAAGACGAAAAAAGGTCGGAGAAAGAAACTGAGGGTGTATAATGCCCCCATTTCCTTCGTTTCCGGGGTATCGACCGTCTTTCGGCCGCTTTTTCACTCCTCGGCTTCTCTCTTATTCCCCTTGCTGTCTCTGCTGTGGTCGTTTGTGGGAAATGGCGGAGAAGCCCAAAGCAGCGGGAGGCGTTTGGACAACCGTCAAACCCTTCGTCAATGGCGGTGGAGCTGGTATGCTTGCTACCTGCGTCATCCAGCCCATCGACATGATCAAGGTTCGCTCTTCTCTCTCTCTCTCTTCTGCTGAAGTGCTGATCCTTTCATCTGATCTCTTCTGCTATCTTTACTCTCTCTTCAAAGGCCATTTTCAATCTCTGTCAAGGTCTTGCAGATTTGGGATCGGGTATTTTCTGAGATTATTGTTGCTCCCTTTGACTTCTGGGATTGTTCGGTTATTTGGTTGAGAGAGAGAGAGAGTCATTAGGTCTAGATGGAGATTTGTGTATCAGTTGAATATATCCTTGGATTTTTGCAGGTGAGAATTCAGCTAGGGCAGGGATCTGGCACGCATGTTGCAAAAACTATGCTCCGAGAAGAGGGCCTGGGTGCTTTTTACAAGGTTTTTCCCCAAACTGTTAAATCCATCCCATGCTTTCTTTATCCTCATTGCAAATATAGGTCATTCGTTTACTTGTTTATAGTCATATAGCTAGCCATCTGAACTTCTCTTTCTCCACAATAATGGGCTATTTCTTATTCTATTTATGTTTGGCACTGTGGCTTTCGTGGATCTGAATATGAATGTAACTATTGGGACTTGTGGGGATCTGATTGTGATCTATGTATACGGAGGAGATTATTTTTCTGAGAATCGGTTAACTTCATAAAAGTAGGAAAATTAAGTACTATTTAAGATCTTGATATTCTGGAATTGAGATGTATATTATGTTCTAAATTGGTGCTCGAGACAAATAATATCAATTTTTCATTGTAGCGAGGTTCATTTGTCAATGTGGCGATGTTACAAGTCACAAGTGTCAAGGTTATATGTATTATGGCTATGCATATAGCATGTTAAAGTGGTATTTATCTGACCTGGTTCAATGCATGGGGTTGTGCCTCTCTCTCTATCTCTTTGTGTGTCTCTCTCTTTTACTGTGATTGCTTAACATAGGTTGCCATCAGGTGAGATTTGTTCTCGGTGAATGTATTGAACTTTGACAGTTGTTGCCAATTTTTCTGCCAAATAATGAAGATATGAATGTGTCATATGTTGCTTTTACAAAACTGTAAAACCTCTTAACAGCATCACAATTTCTTCTCATGGGTAAGTAGTCACTCGTGTGGTTGTGTCAAGCTGCATGATGGACCCAAGGGATTAGCCGAAGTTTTCCTTTGTTCTAATGCATATTTAATGGGAAACTTTTTTATGGATTTGGGGAATAAGTTGAAAAAAATTACTAAAAACATATTGTTGTTGACCACAAGGAAAAAGTGCATTTCACTATTGAAGTTCATGGTATAGGAGTTTGGTGCTTCATTCTTTATATCATTGACAGGGTTAGGAGCTGTCTCTAATTCAAGAACTTTATGTTCATGCAAATTGACGAGGAAAATCCCATTTTGTGGTGCCTTTTAGTGAGCTTAGAGCATTAGGGTACCTTTGTAGTGAGGATAGAGCATTCTTTTATAAGGAGTAAAACTATATTATTTTTTATGATAAAGTAACATTTTGTATTGCTTTTAAAGAGATTTACATCTTTTGGGTTGTAGTAGCTAGCTGCTGTGCGTTCCCCACATAGTCAAAAAAGAAAAAACACCGAATATGCACAAAAGAGAGGCAATAAAAAAAAAGCAAAATACAAGAAAGTTCTATTTAGGGATGATGTATGTTTACTGCAAAATGGATGCCCTTACATAGCCAGGGTGTTGGTGGCCTTAGTTGTCTCGAGCCAGGAATGCTTATAGATCTGAATGTTGCTGGAAATTGTGAAGATTTGGTTGAATCTCTGTTCTAGGTGCCAAGGGCATGGGGCCTTTCTTGAAGGCCATCTAATAACATTAGAAGGGTGACCTTTCATTATATTATTTAATCACTTATTTAATACAATTTGTGTAATTAGAACTTGGGCTCACTATATTATGTGTTTGGTTAGTATATGAGGAAACCATATGTCGTGGAAGTATGCTTGTCTTATTTAACTTCCCTAGGTTAGAAGATTTCAACAATACTTCTATGATATTTTTAAGTGTAGCCAACTATCATTTGTTTAGACAAAAGGCATGCTTCATGAATTGGATGAATAGATGAGGCCACTTTATGATGTTATATGCTGGTTTGAAGTGGACCATATTCTTTACAGATTACTTCATTTCTAAACGAATTGGTGAAAACTGAGTCAATATGCTAGATTGCCTAGCTTTAACTGATGCATTCGATCACATGGGTTCCATTGTGGGTACAATGCTTTATGCATTTGGGTTTATTTTGAATATTATCTCTATTAGTCTCAGATGAATCAAAGTCCAATATGTTCTGAATCTCAAACCAACAGAAATGGTGATCTCTTTGTTGTAATTGAGATAGATGAATTGTTTTGACTGAAGCAATAGTGTCGTATATATGGCTGGACCAGACTAGGTAGGGGTGGCAACGGGTCGGGTCTGGCTGGCCCCGGACCCGAATAGTATTCAGGCCTAAAATTTGGACCCATACCCGGATCTGTCAGGTCCCAGGTCTACCCATCGCATCCCGGGTCTGGTCAGATCCATTGCAACCCCGTGACTATGAGATTTTCTTTTTTTGCCCTTTTTTTTTACTATCATACACCCTATGACTATGAGTTTCTTTTTTGTTTGCCAATAATACTGTAATGTTGTGAATATTGTGACAATATGAACACCTGGCGCACGCCTAAAGATATATGATTGCCATCATATACCCTATGACTATATGTACTGGTCGGGTCCAAAATTTGGACCCATACCCAGACCCGAGGTCGGGTCTACGCGTCGGGTCCCAGGTCTGGTCGGGTCCATTGCCACGCCCAATGTGTAGGGTTTTCCATCTCTGACCCACCTAATAACATTGGGGAGCTTATTTATCAGTTTATGCTCGTTGATCTCAAAGTCATAGAGCCTTTAGATAAGAATGAATTGGATGGGCAGTGGGATAGTGGCGACAGCCCAAACAAGAGGGATTATTGTTGTGAATGATGTGTAAATCTACCTATGGCCGATTGAGGGGTTTGGATAGAAAGATATCATGTGAGTTAACTTGGGCTAGCATCAGGATGGCTTTTTTATTTAGGATTTTATCGGAGGACATAAAGGGTTCATAGAAAATGTTAGTACATTAGACCTCATGTGGACATCTGAACTTGAAATTTAATGGTAACGGTTCCCAAAAACAAAAACTTAAACTTGGACTGGAGTTTAATGCTTTGTTTGTCATGATGGGTTATCTGGAATTATTTAAGATTTGTATCAAAATGCTACACTACTTCCTTATAGAGGGTATATTTCTTCTTTTTGTGGGTAGGCAACTGAGGTTTGGTTTCTTCTGCCTCCTTTGTATTGATTAGCTAAAGAAATATTTACAATAAGAGCATGGCCATAGTCAAATTTGTTGGATACAGGAAATGAAAGGAAGTAGTACAATTTTCTGCCCCCTTGTAGCAAACAATTTACTTGGTTTCACAATTCTCTCTTTTCATCACGAGTTGGCCTAGTACAAAGGAACATTTTAAGGGAGGTCATAGTGGGGAGATATAGTTTGAGAGCATGTCTTGTCCACATCACCTTCGTGGTTTCCTTAAAATGCACTGTCAAACAATTTCTGGGTGTGTAGTGCATTGTTTTGTTGCTACTGCAGTGATGCTACAGGCTAGGTAGTCTCTGAGGGTTTTGCCCACTGCAATGGTGCTACACGCTGTGCTGTCCATGTTGTGTCTTCAGTGAGTCCTTGAGATTTTGATTTTGGGGAGCTACTTTGACCTTTAATATAAGATATGTGTTTTTCTCTTTTACTTTTGGAGGGGTCGACTTATGAGTATTGTAAATCTAAATTTATTTTTGGGTTATTCTGTGGCATGTGAGTGGCTAAAGCCACCTATTGAACCTCCAATGAGAAGGCTATATCTATGTTAACTTCTTGGTGGGCAATGATGTTGTTGTTTTGTATTGACCTTATTCGGAATTTGGGTCATTGCTCGCCCTGATGTCTTCTCTTTCTACAATCAAGATGGCTGAAATGTGGGATGGGTCTGTTCTGCCCTCCAAAATCTCTACTTTCTTGGAGAGTAATATTTTGGCAAAATTTTCCCAAAATTTCGTGCTCTAATGACCTGTTCTTTCTACCTACACATCTTGATCTTTGTCATTATGATTCCAGCCATGTTGTAGAGCGTTATGGTGCTTGACGCTCTTTGTCTCGTCTCTCTTCCTCTTCTTCTTGTTTATCTAAAACTTCATATCTTGAACCCTAAGTTTTCTGATGGCTGGAAAAGAAGTAACAGAAACAGATGATTTGTAGATGTTGGAATACAGGCCACCAACACTCCAGTCATCAGGGGCGTGGAGAGAGTAATTGTGAGTGTGAGCTCAGTGATCTCACACCCGATTGGCACAGCAAGCTCCACCTTCACCGAGGCCAGGCTTAGCTGGGTGGTTTCAAACTGTTCGACAGAAGCTGGGGAAACCCATTATTGGTTGAATGGGACTCACTGAACGTGATAAATTGGGGTAAGAAAACCCCGCTTGCCCTTGAAGACTGGAACCTATCTTCAACAAAATTTTCGAGTTATGCCACTCTATTCAAGTCTCGTTTAGCCATTGATTTCAGCTGCTTATTTCACCCACCTTTACCCTTGAAGACTGGAACCTATCTTTATCACTTCGAGAGGCAGATTCAGCCGCTGATTTCTCTTGCTAAATTGGAGCCTCGAGAATCAATATTATGATGGCCCCAAGCATAAATAGGATTTTTGTACGAGCAACTTCAACACAAGAACACAATTTTTTGTACTGGCCTATCATTTAATACATTGACTCTTCAAAGAAAAAAAGAAGAAAAGGGAGTACGAGCTTCAACCTGATCTCGAAAATAGACTAGACGAACAAAGGAAAGACAGCGCTGTCCATTGAGCCTGTTTGCTAGTCAATGATCTAACCCTCTCACTGGATGTTCAAAGAGTATCCTTTAGAACTCACATCTCATTGGCTTATAAGAAGAGCAAATTTGAATCTACATCTGCCAATGGTTGATATCTAAATAGCAAAAGATAGCATGCATGTTTCAAATTCAAATTTTTCTTATAATCTGAAACCCACAAGGGCCTTCCCGTGACACATCAGACTAGCACAGGCTGCAGCTAAAGAACAGTGTAATACACCATCACAGGTGGTAGCACCACTCAGTATGCTACTCAACTTTTGACATCACATCTGTTTGGTGTGTGCTACTCCCTCAAAAATACTCAACTTTTAGCATCACAGCTATTTGGTGTGTGCGACACCCTCGAAAATTGTCTTAAAATGGTATTTTGAAGAACCAAACAAGTGAAATGGCCAAGAGAGGCTCCAAACCACATTTGCTCATGCTGTATTCATTAGAAATAAAAAAAGGAAAGGGTAAATTCTAGCACTATGACCATTGCCAGATTGACCACTTGCACTTGGCCGATTAGCTTAAGAGAGATAAATTGTGAAAACATTCCAAATATGTCCTTACTGTGATTAAGTCAGACTATTTCTACTTGCTAATTTTGTAGCGTAGAAAACTACAGATTTGCACCAATTGTAAAGCTTTCTTTATCTTATCAATAGAATGAGGCAGGTACAAAAAAACTCGTGCTGCCCAGCCCAAAACAAAGTGTTTGAGAAACTATTATACTGCCAATGTTTTGTTTCTCACATATGTGATCCCTTTTTGAAACGTAGTTACTGGAACATTACACCTGCTGACATTCTTGCTTCTCAAATTAATATTCCCATGGAAATTCCTCACTGAAAATCATCTATTTGCCCATTCTTGTTCCAATGAAAGCATAGTTATAAAAGAAATAGACATAGATTGGCTGCTCTGACCAGTAAGAATGAGTACAAGGCCCAGAAATGGTCCTCTCTATCCTTAAACCAAAAGTAGTCAAATGGATAGAAAACAGAGTGTTAGAACGAGTGTAGTGGATGACATCCTGTCAGACCACTTTGACATTGTTATCAAAAGTTAAGTACGAGAGCTTTTTGGTTGCGGTACTAATTCTGGTTTTCATGGTGTATGATACATTTGTTCAATGGAATGGCATAGTGAAACTTAAAAGCTCATGCAGGGATATAATGAAGGGATAAGGGAAGTGGAGATCGGGTGGTTTAAGGAGGAATATGGGATCAGTGGGGAGGTCAGAATATGGATCAGGGATATAATGAAGGGATAAGGGAAGTGGAGATCGGGTGATATTAAACATGTCACAGTTTAGCATGTTATGTTTTGAGCTCCTTATTCTTAAGTTAGGATTTCGATTGTCTTAATCGTAATCCCGATTTATATTCCTAGGAGATTAACTGATCTATGAGGAATTGTAGAGTTCCTGTCATGATGCAAGCATGAACCTGTTAAAAGAATGCTGAGGAATTTCGATCCTGCTAATCCCAGCAACATCATTTTGTTACATATGAACTTGGAACACTTGTGATTGATGCCCAAGGATATTCAAGAGAATCACATGTTGTAAATGTGCAAGTCTTAGTATGCCTAGGAGCTTTTGCTTAGCCTTAGTTTGGATGCTCCAATAACTTTGTTGCTTGGACACATGAGAATTTGTGTTTTGACTTGGATTTGAAAAATCCCACTCACCTACCTATAATTCTATAATGACACATCTGTAGATTGCATATGTTTCTACATGTATTTATATATAAGATTAACTCGTGGCCTTTTAATTAATAACAAATTAAATTAAAAAAATAAGACATGCAGGTCCAGTCGAAGACCAACATGTTCAAATGGTATGGCATTTGCTTCCATGCATGTCTTGTTCGTCCAATCCATGGAGACAGAGCTGATATGCTGTGTCTGCAAATTCAAAAAGAATGAAATTTCCAGACATGCATGATGATTTCCTGTGTTTGGTGTAGACTCACGTATCTAGTGTGCGTTGTTGTGCCGGATTCTCCTAAATGCATGCGACACAAGTGTCATTGTTGCATTGTCCCATAAATACATTCATGAAGGAGATAATTCATGAATAT